GAATACTAGTTGTGTTTTATGTATGGATCTGTAACCACCATCTATTCAAGTGAGTAAGAAATACTGTTTACTTTCATTTGAATCAATTAAATCAGAATGTGAGCTCCCATGAAATTACAGCTTTGTTCTTTTTGTAATTGCCTCTCCCTTCCCAGAGTCTAATATCCCAGGGATTTTACTCCTATTCTATTTTAAATAAATTTCTGCATATCCTCACAGAATGTTCTTTGTACATTTTTTTTCTTAAAAAAAAATTGTGGTAAGATAACATAAAACTTACCATTTTAACCATTTTTAAGTGTACAATTCAGTGGCATGAAGTACATTCACAATGTTGTACAACCATTACCATTATCCATTTCCAGAACTTTTTCACCATCCCAAACAGAAACTCTACATATTAAACCCTAACTCCCCATTCTCTCCTCCCCCAGTCCCTGGCAATTCCCCATCCCTTCCTTCCCTCAGCCAGTGGTAACTCTACTCTGCTTTCTGTCTCTAGGAATTTGCCCATTCTAGATACCTCATAGAAGTGGAATCACATAATATTTATCTTTTCTCTCTGGCTTATTCTTCTTAGCATAATGCATTTATTCATGTTGTAGCATGTATCAGAATTTCATTTCTTTTTAGGGCTAAATAATATTCCACTGTATGTAGATAACACATTTTTTAATTCATTTATCTGTTGATGGGCACTCGACTTGTTTTGTTTTCACCTTTTGGCTAATTTGAACAATACAGTACAGACCTTGGTGTGCAAGTATCTGTTTGAGTCCTTGCTTTCTATTCTTGTAGGGTATATACCTACGTGTGGAATTGCTGGATCATGTGGGAATTCCATGTCTAATTTTGAGGAACTGCCAAACTGCTTTCCACAGCAGATGCATCATTTTATATCCCCATCAACAACGCATGAAGGTTCTCTGTACCTCTCTGTTTTGACAGAAATGCGGAGCTCCTTAAAGGACCCAACTTTCCTCACAGACGCACACATTCTCCTGTGCATCACACACCATACAGGTTTCTTCCTTTGATACATATAGCTGTTTATTTCAACACGTAGCTTTTATCTATTTTTAGGTCGTTTGCCATTACGGCACTGACAGTGAGTACCCAATCTTTTCAGACAGTATCCAAATGAGTATTCAATACTTGAGTTTCATAATTTTTTACTTCTTCATATCTAGTGACCCCCCTCTCAATTTCGTCTACTTCTAAGGCAATGCTTTTAATATTGTCAATGCTCAGTCTGAGTGCTTCACCTCTGAGATCTTAAACAGCAACAGTCCACTTTCTGCCTACAACATCTGATCCTTTCAGCTCTTGAATTTTCTTATTCCTGCCACCTTTGCCCTTTGATCTCAAGATTTAGGGTTTCTTAATTCCTCCTTTTTCTCTTGGTATATAGGTTCTTTCAGTTTTACTTCCTGCTCTATTTAGCTTAGACCATTATTCATCATTTCAACAAGTTTTTGCTAGTTTACTTTCAACCATGCTCCTCTCCATCATTTTGGTCCTGCAAACCTGTAATCCTGGATCATTTCAATCCTTTGCCTTCTGTGCTACTATACAAGGTAGTTGAACGTGTCAAGTTATGCAACTGTAAAAACTAGAACTCACCTGTAGCATCTATGCCCAGCTCGCTCTTTAGGACTGCTTGTCGTGGTCTTCTTGCCCTTATTCAGTTTTCTTTCCCATTCCCTTTCAAAGCCTCCTGCCCTCTGCACTTTAGCAGCCCATACTGACCCTCACTTTACAGAAAAAAATGAAACTCTTAATTCTGAACTGAAACTTATTTCTATTCCACAGCTATTCTTATCTCTTTCAGTCCTGTCTGTGAGCACAAGGTGACCATCTTCCTGCTCAAGGCAAATGCTTTGGGAGATTCTAAATTCCATCTCTTCCTACTTCTGTAGGAATCCTGTTCCAACCATAACAATTCTATTAGCTCTTTCCAATTCGTCATAAGCAGGCTCAAATATCTGCCATTTTTCAAAAACCAAAACCAAAAGTCCTGAACCTATCTTCCTTTCTTCTCAACTATCATTAACATCTTCCTTATTCAAGTTTCTTCAAGGACTGCTCTATTGTCCAAATTACTATGCTTCTTGACCTCTAATCACTCTTCAATTCACAGAAAACTGGCTTCTGTATCTAATGCTTTATTAAAACTACCTCTGTGGAGGTTACTAATGACCACCTAATTTCAAATAGAAAGGACACTTTTTCTCCTTATCTTCCTTAACCATTTAGCAATAGATGACCTTTTTTAAAAAATTTTTAAAAATCTCCTTCTTTGGCTTCAGTGATATACATTTTGATTCTACTCCTACTTCACTGACTTTGTCGTGTAAAAGTAAATTTATCTTAACGTTGGTTGAGCACTAACAATAAGCTAAATACTATGCTAAGAACTGTACATACTTAAAACAACTGTATGAGGTAGGTGCTATAATTCTAATTTCACAAAAAGGAAATGGTCTTGGAGAGGTTCATTTATATAAGCCACAAAAGGCAGGGCTGTCTTAAGTGCAAATCCCAGTAGCTTTAGCATACTACCAGCCTTTTTTTTTTTTTTTTTTTAAGTAGCAGTGAGAGGGGTACATGTGAAGCCTATCTTTGAGCCAACAATTGTTAACTCTTTATCTAGAAGAGATTGTTTAACTCTGTTATATTCATGTAGATTAAAAAAGTCTTTGGAAAACAAGTATTTTGGCTTTACAATTTTTAAAAATCTTTCAGTAATCTGCAATTCAGTAAAAAGAAGGAGCATTAAGAACTGACATCAAGGTTTGTTTTTTAAGAAAAAAAATGTCAGGTCATGTAAGATTATCATATGCTTCTCAGAATTCCTGGATAATGTCACTTTATCAACAAGCATTTGCTGTCCTATCTCACAAGGATGGCAGGGGAAGGTTCCATGAAAACTCTCCCTTACCGATAGTGTGAAGCTACTTCATACCGCACTGCAATATCCAAGGGCACAAACCACACAATATTCATAAGTCCTAGTAGCAGGTTTAATATATGCTCCTATTATTCTACCAAGAGGCCCTAATTTAATGCAGCTACTTGAAATGTGCTTGTAAAGCAGCATCCCTCAAACTTGAATACATGTGGGAATTTTTAGGGAACTTAAAACACTGACAGCCTAGTCCTACCTCAAGAGACTGATGTAATTGGCCTGGGAGGAGATGGGGATTAGAATTTTTAGAGGCTCCTCAGGTGCTTCTTATGCACAGCTACAGTTGAGAACCCATTGGTGTAAAGTATGAAGGAAAGATTGTCATATCCACTCTATAGTGACAAAAAAAAAAAAAGGGTGAGTGGCTGGGATGTCATCATTAATCATCAGGTTTTTGTTTACTGACATGATCACATATAGACATTGCTTCTAACTGCAGACAAATGATCCCCAGTCATCAATCAAACATACTTAATATTTTATAACTGCATTAATTCGTAAGGCTACTATAACAATGTACCACAAACTGGGAGGCTTAAAACAGAAATTTACCTACAGGTCCAAAATCAAGGTGTCAGCTGGGTTATGCTCTCTTTGATGGCTATAGGTGAGAATCTTCCCAGGCCTCTTCTACATTTTAGTGTTTGCTGCCAACATTTGGCATTACTTGGCTTGTGGATGCCAGGCGCACAGTTGTCTTCTCCCTGTGTCTTTATATAGCCTTCCTCTATGTGTGTGTCTCTGTGTCCAAATTTCTCCTTGTTATAGAACATCAGTCATATTAGGTTAGAGCCCATGCTAATGACCTAATTTTACCTGGCTGCCTCTCTAAAGGCCTTATTTCCAAATATAGTCACATTCTGAGATTCTAGGGGTTAGGACTTCAACATATCTTTTTTGAGGGACACAATTCAACTCATAACAATAACCAACTACATATGCCAGTAACATTGTTCTAAAGCAGGCATTCTTAACTTGGGATGAAAAAAAAATTCATCTTTATTTTTCACTCTGGTGTAAATACAGCATTTCTTACCATTATGAACATAGCCTAAAACTACAATAGTACTGTTTAGCAGTTCTTGAGAAATTGCACCCATAGGAACCACTGGTGTTTTCACATCACATTTCAGGGTTTGCAGTTATCCCCAAAATACCATTTACAGTCATCACTACTTTGAAATTATAGTTAATAGACTTGCTGTTAGACATACTAATTTAATGTATTAATAATGATGTGTGAATATAGTAAAATATCATGACATGATACTTTCATAACTATTTCAGTAAAGCTGATTTTGATTTAATTGCATATTTTGTACTTAACAACATTATTCTGAGAAGGGGAAAAATTAAAAGAAAATCTTTCAATAACCCACAGCCCAAGTTAGTGAATTCTTACACTTCAGACTTGAGGGTTTTTTAATCTTATTAAGTATCAGAGAACATACAGGACATTGTACATCACTTTTCAAACCTTTTATTTATTTATTTTTACCATGATCCATTGTGAAAATATATATATTTTACACATAACTCAATATACCATCTTAACTCTCTTTCACACAACACCAAACTAAAACCAAAGTATCATAAAACAATATTTACCTTTACTATAGGAGATGCACTCTGACATTTAAAAAAATTTTTTTTTATTTTATTATGTTATGTTAATCACCATACATTACATCATTAGTTTTTGATGTAGTGTTCCATGACTCATTGTTTGCGTATAAACACCCAGTGATACTTTCTATTCTATTTCTTTTCATTAAAAAATGCCAGTGTGACCTACTGAATTAATTTCACAACTACTCTTGGAGCATAAATTAAATAAGTGTTAAAAATCCTTCAGTGGCATTCCTTTATAAAACTTCTCATATTATATTATAATTGGCGAAAGGCTGTTTTTACTGTTATTCATGTACTGTTTTAAATATATATATCATTTCAGAGGTGGCATTTAGATGAGCAAATAGTTCAATAGGGCCAGACCAACATTTATTTATGCCCAGGTTAAAAAGAATTTTACCTGTAGTAAACTCGAAGTGTTTGGATTTCTTCTTCTAGTTTTTTGTACTGTTGAACTGCAGTCTCTCTGGCTTGTTGCATAGCCAACAACTTTGCCTGCAAGTAATTAATATTTTAAGAAATTTAATATTAGTTTTGGTATGTTAGAATACAGTATTGTAGTATAAATAGGAGCCTTAAATTTGTGGTAGTTTTAAAATCTATCTGTATTTTCAGTAGTGTCTCATAATTTCTCACAAAATAATCAAATTATATGAGTAACAGACATATTGAAGACAAGAATATATTAAATTTACCAAGTTTGCTCATTACTCAACTTCAACCTTATTCATCTGTATCATCAGATATATGCCCTTCTGCAATGTTTAACTTTATACACAGAATTCAGAATGTGGAACATGGGTTCAGAGCAATATCTTGAGATAAGCACAATCGGTGTTTCACATACAAACTTAATGTGGCTCCACTGCCTGACCACACTAGATTTTCTTTTAACTTTATTAATAGTAAAACCCAGAAAATTCTAAATATGTTGTTCAGCCATCTTTGATATTTAATGTGAAAAAAATATACAAGACTATAACCTGATTCTTACAGATATGACTTAACCTTTTCAATTCCTTTTCTGCCAGACAAAAATCTCTGAAGGGAGTATGGCAACAATCTTGAATGTTAAGAGGTATTTTATTCAAAGGATGTTATTGTTCCTCTCTGCCTGTAGTATTCAAACTTTAAAAGGGACTAGTCAGTTTTTCAACAGAGTTCAAACTTGTAGTTTTAAAAGAACTGCCAACTTCCAACCATCTTTCCCATTGGGTTTCAGGCATAGCCAAAAAGTTTTCAATGAAACTTTTAAAATATGATACCAGTAAAGTCAGATTTCAGTTTTGTTTATTCAAAATTTGATTTGCATGAAAGGACTGTCTTTCACTTTAAGTGGTGTTTGATATGTAACACAGAGCAAATTGTTATCAAACATCTCACAAACTACACTAATGGCAATAATTAAGAAGTGATTGAGTTTGGAGGCAGAAGTTCACTAATTTTGCTGAACTCAGATGATTTCACTGGGATTATTTTCTTGCATAAGAATAAAGTCATAAGACAAACTGTGAAATCCTGACCACAGGAAAATTAATTAGTGTAATGTAAGTGAGCACTGGACAATGCCACTTTTCTATTTGAATAATGTAGAATAATAAAAACAATGCAACAATTCAGGTCTTTGTATATAACTTTAGGAGCTAAGTTAAATAATTTGTTCTCTATCTGGGCTAGCAAACCTAACAAAGAGTTACTTGTTCATTAAATTTAAGATGTTTGAGTGCTTGCTTTAACATGTCACGTTCTAGAATTATAGATAAAACATTCTCAAAAATTATAAAAAAAGCATTTAAAAATAGGTGGCTGGTTCTTTATGTCAAAAATTGACAGCTTTGCCAATTTTCAGTAAACTATAAAATGTGATTGAAATGGTTAATATGGAAGACACAGATACCCACTGTGACTAATGGTCAAAAAGAATCACACAAAAAAGAACATATCACATTCAACTTACAAAATGTCGAACATCCTGTTACATGTATTTAAGGAATATCAAATATTGGACAGGTAACAGAGAATTTGCTAAATAAATATATGAGAATGCTAAGTACCTTAGATGATTATTTTTGATTTTTTTTAACCTGGTACTTCTGCAAAAACGAATAAACAAAAACAAAACAAACAAACAAACAAACAAACAAAAACCCCCTCCCAAACCAAAAACAAAACGAACAATGTTCTGGTAGGAAAACGCCATAATGAAGATTTCTGCCTAAGAAATTTCTGCAATAAAAATGGGAACATGAGAATTTTACTTAAATTCCTGTGCTTCAGGTAATACTGACTTTCTCACTTCTCACATTTAATTGGCTATGAAGATCTGGTGTGGCTTCACAGCAACCCAAATGTCTAATCTTATGTCTAGGCCTTGCTGACTATGTTCAAAGCTATTATAAACTTCCTGGCTTTTCCTTTATCAGATATATGTTCATCTGGCCAGCATTTCTTTTTTGGGGAAATACCCTTACCCTCTGTCACAGTGATCCTGTTCAGTCCTGGTGGCTAGGATGAACTTCATTCCCTACCACTCAGGTAAATATAATCCAGGTTGTGCAAACACAGTACTCCATCCCACCAGCCCCAGAAGAAAACTGAATCCTGATGACATCATTTGTACTCCTGGATCCCCTCTGCCAGACAGTTTCAGATCCATTCCATCTCTTGGACTTCCTGAGTACATAAGTCTTTTTTTTTAAGCTTAGGCTAGTTTGAGTTGGATCTATGTTATTTGTAAGAAAACTAATTTAAATGTGCTGTTTACTTCTATTGCATTTCCTACTTTCACTACTAATATCATATAATTCCATCACATTACAAGTCAATAATAAATTTCATATAAAAAACATTAAGGAAATTAGTGAACAGATATTTTTTCCTGTTCCTCAGGCATATTTCCCATATTTCTGGCAATTACATGAAAAAAAAACCCTGCATGTATTCATTTATCTGTGTACTCATAAAAACATGCATTGGGGCGCCTGGGTGTCTCAGTCGGTTAAGTGCTGCCTTCGGTTCAGGCCATGATCCCAGGGTCCTGGGATCAAGCCCCGCATCGGGCTCCTGCACAGTGTGAAGCCTGCTTCTCCCTCTCCCTCTGCCTTCTGCTCTGCCTATCTGTGCTCTCTCTCTCTGTCTCTGACAAATAAATAAATAAAATCCAAATATATATATATATATGCATTAAAAAACTAACAAAATTTAAAAAGTATAAGAAAATACAGTGTAAAGTAAATCTTTCTTCCACCTCCAACCCTCAGTACAAATCCCTTCTCCTGAGATTAGCAGTCATCTGTCCAGAAATAGTCTATACTTAGTATATATAAGCAATATGCAATGACATACACCTATTTACAATATTGATGACATTCTTTACAGTGATAAACTTTGTCTTAAATTTAAAGAATATTTTGTTATCTTGCTTCCTATTTAAAAAAAAAAATCCTCTACCCCAACCCATATATCGCACTTACTAGTTATACTCCCTCCTTCCCTTCCACCCCCAAAGTGAACACTTCCATGAATTTGGGCTTATCATTTTCAAGGACATTTTATACTTTTATTATATAGTTATATACTTACAGATAATGTATATCTTTTTGCAGATTTTAAACTTTATATAAACGATACTTCACATATTTCACAGGCAACTGCTTTTTTGACATTGTACTTTTGACTTTTATTCATGTTGATATATGTTTATCTGATAACACTTATCGTCACATGTTGTAAAGATGTGCAATATACTGTGATTACAGATATATTTGGACTTATTTGTACATATTTTTCATGTTTCATATATCCTGTTTTCTCTGCTTCTCTTTTTTGTCTCTCCTTTTGGATTAAATTTTCTATAATACCCCTTTTATTGTAATGCTTAGAATCTATGTATTTATACTTTACCTTGAAATTTTTGATAAAGATACTTATATTTTTGAGCAAGGCCTTCAGTGAGTCAGGATTTTTATATACAATCAGAGTTTTAATAAATGTTTTACACAACTATAACACTTTTTCTACTTATAGGTATATTTTTAGATAAAATCTTTATTGAAGTAAAACATGCATCATGTATCACATAAGTATACATGGATGTATTTTTTAAAGTCAAGTTTATTGAGTTATAACTTACACAAAGTAAAAATTTACCCATCTATTATGTACAGTTGTATAAATTTTCACAAATTTATAGTCATGTAACAGCCATCACAATCAAGATACAGAATATTTCCATTCATCCACAATGTTCCCTTGTGCACCAATATAGTCAATGTCTTCCCTTTATACCCAATCCCTGGCAACCACTTGTGATTTTTATTCCTATAGTTTGCCTTTTCTAGAATGACACACAAATGGAATCATGTAGTAGGCAGCCTTTTGAATTTGGCTTCTTTCACTTAATGCTTTTGGGATTCATTCATACTATTACATTTATCAATGGTTCATCCCTTTATGTCACTGAGTCGTATTCCATCGTAGGGATGTACCAAAATCTATATATCCATTCACCAGTTGATGGACATTTGGGTTGTTTCCAGTTTGGGGCAATTATTAATAAAGCTCCTATAAACATCAGCATATAGGTAATTTTGTGGAACAACGTCTTCATTTCTTTTAGGTAAATACCAAGGAATGGAATGGGTCCTATGCTAAGTGTGTATAATGTGTTTATATATTTTATATAAAGTGATGTACCTTAAAAAGCTATATACACTATAAAGAAACTGCCAAACTTGCTGCTTAAATTGATGTAACTTGAAAGCATCTGTGCTTAACTATAATGCCATTTGTTGAATGCCTACTATGGGTTGGGCATTGTATCAAGTGCTTGAAATCCTATAGCCTATCCCCACAATCAGCCTATGAGAGAACTCCAATTATCCTTATTTTACAGGTGATAAAATTGAAGTTCATGAAAATTAAGCAACTTGCAAGACTATATAACATTCTCAGATATACATATGTAAATATATGTAAATACTTAACATACATATGTTTACACACACACACATACACATATACGCTAGGTCAACCTATATTCTTAAGAACAGATGACAGATGACAAAAAGTAATTACTTAGGAATTTAAAAAATAACCCACCAATGTGTGGGTTCACAAGCACTTGATTAATTTTCATATGTCTTAGCCACACTTGCAGGGAAAAGGACAAGCAGAGATGTACCAGATACTCTTGAGCATGCTGCCTTTTTATATATCACTCAAGCCTTTCCACATATAATTGCTCTTTTTGTTTTTTATTCTAATTCCACCAAACTTCACCTAAGTTTTCAGCATGAAGGAGTCTTGTCTGGGAGTCATGTGTGTATTTAGTCTTAGTAATGGTAATAACTGGGAGTCATGCTGTATTTAGTCATTAGCTGGATCTTCTACTTCTTAAACTGTGCTGCTGGTTCATCTCTCCCTAATACTAGTAAGAATATAAACATTCTGCTGCTTACTCCACCAAAATTTACCTATTAAAAACATTTGTCTTC